ACCGATCCCGTCATCTGGACTGCTATCAATTATTAAGTCCTCGTGGGTTGTCGGTGTTCATCATTACCATCACCTTGTAAAACCTACGTCTACGTAAATCACCAATAGTATGTAGAGTAACCCCCTATTATGATCCCTTCTAAGACTCTTTCTCCTTTGTCATTGGTTCACCCCTTAATTCACCCCCAACTCGACATTACTGCTATACTAGACCAGCTGCTAACATGATATCACTACGTCTGCAGTGACTCGATCCCACAAATACAACGATAAGGACCACGCTGGCCTCGCCGAGGGCACTGTCCTCCCTCATGACAACCTTCCCAAGTTCTTCGCCAAGAACGGCTTCGAGGGTTCTGATCCCAAGAAGACGAAGAAGAATGGTGGCGGCAAGGGCAACTGGTAAGCATACCACCTAAGCATACCACCTATCTTCCAGACTATAGAAGGGAACCTTTTTCTCTAACAATCAATAGGGGTAACGTCGGCGAGGAGGTAGTCGACGAGCAATTCAACTTCTCGAACGCCCGTCGTCGTTCCAATAGCAGTGGTTACTCCAACCACCTTAGCGACTTCAAGACCAAGTTCGAGTTCAACGAACCCGAGCCTGTGTTTGAGGAGCGTATCCACGGCCCCGTCGAGGACGACAATGTCCTGACTAAGACCGAGACTTCCTCGAGCGAGTCTAGCTCTGTGGATGACAAGCACCGCAAGAGCATGTAACAAAACCACAACATCTCCTGGCTATGACAGTCTGTCAAGATAAGGCAGCCGTCGACGCCTTTGGCATCGGGCAACTTTCGCTTGTGCGTGTACCGTCAATGTACTAAAAGAAAATCACAAACAAAGTAGTAAAAACTCGGAAACTACAATATTATTAATGTCTTGGTTGCTGGAAAGGATATGTCATGACGATTATGACGACAATGACGGAGGGAGTAAGGAAGGAAGGGGTTCATGTTCAAAGTAGGTTGACAGGTGCACCAAGCAATGTTGAAACCACCGATATCCCACCATAGTGGTGATTGTCGTCGTGGGCACTGAATGCCAATGTATCACTAGATATCAATCACAAACTCGAATCTCAGATTTGAGATGCCAATTGACTTGTACACTCATTCGCTCCTATCTTCCTGTGATAACTTTACTAGGCTCAACTTCGGAAACTGTGATTGCCTTGTATGCATGTATTGAACCAGGAGTAGATTCGTTCTCCTGTCTTGAATGCAGCTGCGAATATCATACAATGTTCTTACATAGTACCCCGCTGTACACTTCTCACCTGTTAAAAACACGACGTAATCTTAATCACTATTTCCAATTCACCCGTATTCTCCTCGCCCGGGGATGATCAATTGATAATGAAGTGACGCAACGCCATTAGTGTAGGCTTCGCCTTTTCCCCTTCCACCTTGAGGCTAAGGATACGATAGTGACCTAGACAGAGCACTTCGTTTCCATCTCGTGCGAGCTGGGATCCCTGACCCGAGGTTAATATAGACGAGAAAAGCTGAGAGGCGTCCCAGAATACGAGATTCATGCCGGACTTTCGAGATTGTCGCTCCTCCTCGCCCCCTTCTTCTACTGGGTCTCCTTCTTCTTCGAAGGGAATCAGGTATTGGCGATGAGAGAGTGTGCTGGTTTCGCGAGCGGTAGTAGTGGATGCGGGTGTCTCTGCGACCATGGGCATGTTTACGCCGTCGAGGGACCCAAGTGGCATTTCCTCCAGCGACTCGATTATGATGCGCTTCTTCCGCCCCTGGCGATCGCGCGAGAAGAACCATAAGGGCCCGATGGCGTCTTGGCGGCGGGCGAGCGTGCCGGGAATGCCTTGAAATGAATCCAAGGTTGAGGTCTCGCTAGCGCAGGTCCGTAGGAGTGCGAGCGACAGGCGTCGGTCGCCCTTCGTGATCTTGGGCGCGTGTACGAGGTGTGCGCGCTGTTCTGCTGTCGGCGTCCAGCCTTGGTCCTGGAGAGGCGGGACGTGCAGGGCGGCGCGGAGTCCGCGGATGAGAATTTCTGTCGCGGGCGGCGTGACGAGGGCTTGTAGGCCTGCTACGGTCCTGCACGCTGGTGGGATGAGGAGTGCTCCCGGCTGCGCTGGGTCTGATGGTGTCTGTGCGAGCACCACGCCGTGGTCGAAGGCTTTCTCGTCGAGCGTCTGTAGAGATACGCCTGTGAACCGCCGGCCTGTGAGAAGCGTGTGCTGCAGCGGGGCTGGGCCGCGCAGGTCTGGCAGGAGAGAGGGGTGCAGGTTGAGCCCGCCGTATTTGGCTGCGCGCAGGAGACGCGGGGGCACGAAGAGGCCGAAGGAGACGGCTATTATTAGGTTTGTTCTGGTGGGTATCTGGGTGGTTAGTTAGTTGGGCCGTATGCTGCATGGATGGATGAATGGATGGGTAGGTAGACTGGTATGTGACGCCCTTCTTGGCGATGGCGATGGCGATGGTAATAGTGACTTACGTCCCATCCTGTGAATGTGTCTCTCTCGTGGATCTTGAGGCCAAGGCTGTCTGCTAGGCCTCGGAGTGGTGCTATGGTTACGCATGAGGTGTTAGTACTAGATTCGATATGTGTACAGTTAATGGGAAAACTATATGAGCGAGATGTTGGCACGTCACCACTGCACGGGAGGTTCTTAAGAAGTCAAATAACAATAGGAGCTAAAATGAAGTCGAAAAGAAATATCCCAACTCACGATCTCGAACGACCTTATACCCACGACCCGTCCGCTTGCCCGGACGTACGACGACGTCGATGGACCGGATGAGGCTGGGATTCTGGACATGTTCATGGTGAAGGGCTTGCAGCGAGGCGCAGCTGAAGTCGTCGGAGCCGCAGAAAAGAATATGTAGAGGATCCGATATCTTCCCTTGAGTGGTTGAATATCGTCGTCCCTGATGAAAGAACGGTGCCGCCGCTGTGTACCGGCGCTGGTCTGTTGTAACGTAATAATGACCATGATTGAAGCAATAACTTGCTCTATTTCGTAGTGCTATATGCTGTGATGAGTGTGGTGGAAATAGTATCGCCACGGACTTTGCCGCCGCCATAAATGAGGCGAAGATATGGCTCATCGCTGCTTATATGTGTGATGCATGTGACAAGGCGAGCAGTGTAAGTGCACTGTTCTCTTCTAAAGCAGGCTCACTCTTCTCCTCATGCCGTGGAATATGTCAAGCAAATGGTCAAGGCCCCTTTACTGACATGTGAATATAGGTGCCCGGAGATACGGTGGATAGTATTGTACAACCGGCTAATCTAGCTAACATGTTAGAAAGGGGCTCAAATCTATGTACACCTTCAAATAAGCGGTTTGGGGGCATTTATCTGACCTGGCAGTGTATAATCTAGGGCTAATCTGTCTTGTTTAGACCTCTAGGCGCCAGATAGGGAGTTCTATATTATCAACAGCATGTGACACCTAATTTGTGTTTAGTTGTCGCGAGGCTTTAGGCGACCTCGGAGATTGTTTCATACATTGTTGCAAGGCAATAATTGGGATATATCAAGCTTCAATGCTTCGTCGCGTTTCAGCAGATGAGTTTTGTGGCGTTAACTATCCGAATGTGGCTGAATCCATCAAGTACCCAACTAGCTTATCTTATCAGATCTGCTGGTTGATCTGGACTTGACTTTTCGTGATCTATTAATACAGTGGAAGAGCTCCATTGGTTACGTCTATGAATTACGGCTCAGCACGTTAATTTGTGAGTCACCAAGAAAACCGCAAAATTGCGAAGGTATGGGCTGTCTTTCGTTTCATTGGATTCTCCAGCGGCTGGCAGGTTGGGGTAGCGGGAGCCTTTCGATTAACATTGGTATAAGCTTACCTCTACTTTTACTGAGCCTTATAGAGGATTGCGTTTCCCTAAACCTGCGTTATAATACAATTGGTGGTTTGAGATAAATTATAAGACGATTTCAGCAGTACTGAATGTCCGGCGTGTTCATCTCTGCCAATAAGTACCTAAACTAGTGCAGCTCATCGACCAACAGAGAATATGAAGCTTCGAACATATTCTAGGATTGTCTTGTCGCCAACAGCTTATCTACTAATAGGTGGGACTTACACAGGAGCATGGTGCCAACTTGTAGCAGCTTCTGAGGTCATGCGCGCTCTTGTTTAGACTTGTTACGGCTCGACACTGTCTCCCATCAGATGGATTGGGCTCATGTAAATAGCTCTTATTGGGAATAGAAGTGTACGGCGTAGTTAATGCTGTGAACCTCCTTACATATTGCATGTGTACGAGTCTATTATTAGTTGTATCACTTACATTGCGATGGAGACTATTCATTGGCGCGAAAAATGCAGTAATCAAGCTAGATTCCGGTCATGTCGCCTGCCACGTAGCAAGCCGTCTTGGAGACCATATGATAAATCTCACTTGCATGCAATCTCACTTACACTGCGGCGATCAGCCAACCCTACGCAATTACGCAATCAGGTGATGTTCCACGTAAAAGCCCCCTAAGATCAAGCAGGCTGTGGGTTTGAAACTGGGAAAATAGAAAGCAGGCAGATCTCACTGCCGCAAGGCATTTGTGAGAGGACTGTCGTTGACGCTGGTGGGATCGGTGGGTAATGGTATTATACGATCGTTTAGCTCTCTAGAAATATGTTTGACTATATTTTGGTGAAATTCTGCGATGAGTAGGATTATGCTAAGTTCTACAAGGAATATATATGGCCCAGAAGCTACTGTATCATTATCATCAACATCACAAGATTAGCGAATAAATATTTACAGCTTCCTTGCGTAGCACGTATTCCTGCTTTCGCTGTAGTGCTACCCATCCATGTGCATGCGTGCTACAATGCAATGTCCGCATTACGAAAAAAGCAGGAAGTCAAACATTATAATAGCAGGGAATAGAAACTTGACTGAACAGGTTGATTAGATCGCAACTTTGGAAGTTCCGAAGTCCTCCCCGCCAAGACCCATTTGTGAGACCGTATCTAAGAATTCATTTGGGCGGCAATTGTCATCATGCAAGGTGCCATAGTATAGTGGTTAGTACAGCACGTTGTGGCCGTGCAAACATGGGTTCGATTCCCATTGGCGCCATCTTTTTGACCATTTCGCCAACCCAGGTTGGCTAGGCATTCAGAAATAGTTGACTGTTAAGTTCTCCCTCTGGGTCAATAATGGGTGTATGGTTGATGTGATTATCCTGTACGCTAAATCTAGTTCACATTTTTGGCTAAAAATACATTATTACACATAACAATTGACTGATTGTTATTTTCACTTCACCTGGGATATGGAAATAAACGAAGAGAATTATGCTGCAACGTAATATTGTCTGATGACTAACTCCAGGCTCCAGCTAGAAGTGTCATATTCATACAAATATATTAGGACTTATGGAATGCTAATTAAGTAGTAAGTAGCTGACTTCAGTTTTGTCTCCTCTCCCTGGCTTCGAAGGAGACTCATCTCTCGTCTCGACTAATTTCACAGGCACGCAACGCAAGTAGCTAGAATAGGTGTCGAGAGAGATGAAAACAAACAACGTGCACATGATGCACGACTAATATTTCATTTGCTCATCCCTAACCAGCGGCATGCCACTCGCTGCAGCTGATTGAATCAGTCATCCTTCCATCGCTTCAATTCTCCACATCCACGTCACCAAAGAGCGATAAATCGCTAGGCATGGAAGGGCAAGCTTTCAAATGGCAGGGCAGAGTCCCGCTGATAATGGCTTGGTAGCCGGCTCGCCAAAGACGTAAATGACATATTCACCATAGCTGGCAAAGTGTTGTGTTGTATGAGAGCCGTATATGAAAAGCTGATGGTAGCCATGGTATATCCACTTAACTCCGAGTATAACTGCACAATTTAGGCGCTCTGGGGCGATGCGGCAAAACTTAGATCGCCCGTCTCGCCGCTGAAGGTCGACTTCAGCACTGTGGCACTTCCCACCGCCTTTTGACTACCCGACTTCTCTAAACCAGATACTGCACTATCGACCTCGCCAAAGGAGATGCCTAAGCCGCCTTTCTTCTCGTCGCCGTCCTGCACGGTTTCCTCCATCTTCTCGTCTAGATTCATCAGAGCGGGTGGCCGGTGGCGCATCTGCCTTGCCTTGGCGAGAGAAATAGTCTTCTGTTGGTATGTGGAGGTCATGGGCTGGCTCTCGTCGCGATCGATGGTCGCCTTCATCAATGCTGCCATCCAGGCCCGCCCCTGTTGGAGGTTAGGGACTGCAAAATAGTGTACTGTTGGCTTGGTAAAATTGACAGCTTTGGAGAGGCCTGCACGAGGCGGCATAAGCTTGAATATGAACATTGAATCAGTTCCTTTCTCGATGGCCGCCGCTGTGGCTGCGTCGCTCTCGGCAAGAGTGTGAAGATTGCTGTCCGCAGGCATCACTGGTGTATTGCTCGCGCCCGTCAAGGTAGCGTGAAGGCCAGTCAAGCGTTCGTTGTCAGCCGGTAGTACTCGATGGAAAGAAATGTCAATCAGCCCTTTTTCCTCGACATCGTCTTCTGAGTAATAATAGGAAAGTCTCCTTCCCTTTAGAACGAAGAGCCGCGGTTTCCAAGTGGTCATGAGATGGGAATTCTTCTTTTTCATCCATCCACTGTAGTCTGCATCTTTGATTGCATCTCGGGGGGCGATTTTCTGAAGGCCACGTAGATACGCACTTGTCTCTTTCTTTGTTTTCTTTCCGTTTTTGCGGTTACCAGGCGTCGTGGTGGAATATGGACTCTTTCCGGCTTCTGGAGACTCCAGATCGAAGCTAGGACCAGCCGAAGGAGTACTGGAGCCGGTCCTGGCGGGAGACTGTAAGGGCGAATCTTTGACGGAGGAATCGGTTGGTGAATGGATTTTTGAGCGGTCAGCGCCAGTAACGGCATCAGATATGGCCCGCAGCCCGCTAAATCCAGCAATTCGCCCACTGGCGCTTGATAACCAGTCACCGTGAGCACCGTGCCGGGCACCTGGCGTATTGGGGGAGGCACGCGTATTGTCATCGAGTTTCGTAACGGTGGGTGATGGGTTATCTTTCGCTGGTGGTGGCGGCCGATATGAATCTGTGGTGGTAGTAGAAGTGGTTCGGCGGTGATCGCCACTTGTGCCATAATACATCTGTGCAGCAGAGGGGGGAGTTGCGTCTCGATTAAAATCCGCACTCCCGAATCGGGACCGCCTAGACAGTGCTGTTGCGCTTCTGACCCGTTGTTGCTCTGCGTAACTTGATTGGTGAGCTTGGGAAGCGACGCTGTCGCGCTTCTTAAGCACGTTACGGCGACGTCCGTCTAGCTCTGTCCCGGAAAAATAGCCGCGTTCGAGGTCGGCCGTGGAGTCCTGAGTAATATCGGCATCGGATGCATTGAGCATGTCTTGAAACCCCGTTGAAGACAAAGGTCGAGGCGGATGCTGGGCTGGAGCGGCACCCATCGTCCAATTTCGATCAAAAGAGGGCTGTTTCCTGTGGGATGCTTCGCCCTGCGGAAAGGTGCCAGAGTTGGGGAGCTTGGGGGTTCCGGTAGCAGGTGCGGGAGGATTAACCGTGAGCCGGAAGTCGGTAGAAGAATGTCGTCGTGAGTGATGCAGATCCCGCACAGAAGCTGCCGACGGCCTCTTCTGATGAGAAGGCCGAGTGGGACTGTCTAGAATACGTTTCGGGGAAAGGGGAGCACCTGGCGTTATGGCTTCGAGCCTGGGAGTCTGGGAGAGACGTTTGGTGTGAATCGATGTCGGGCGGTCTTCTATAGGTGGAAGTCTCTGGGTGCTTGTCAAGGTGTTGGTTCGACTCCTCCGCCTACCAGTGGCCCTGGAATCTTCTGACCCTGCATCGCTACCGTATGTTTGTCGTCGCGTGACAAGACCATGCCCATTGACCTCATCCTGCAGAGCCTTTATCTTCTGCCAGGTTTTCAAGCGCCTGCCCACGGAACCCAGATCAAAAGCCTTTAAAAAAAGCGAAGATTGGTCCATACCCAGAAGCACTTCGCCTGCGATCTCTTGATCTCGAAAAACCTCACAGTGTTTCTTCTCTACTCCCACCGTAAACAAATACTCGGCTACGTTATCGGCAGTCCAGGCTTCAACCTCTGCACGGTTGTGTGGAGCCTCCTCTTCCTCGTCCGTCTCTTCACCTTGAATGTATGAGAGCCGATCTTGCATATGAGAACTGTATTCGCTGCCGGAATCCGTCGCGTTGTGCATGTGCCCGTTTTGCGAGGGCGAGTGAAGGTCAGTTATGTGTTCGTTAATGACGGTCAAAGTCTCATGGAGAACCTGGCTGTCCTGGCTTGATGATGGATTGAGGCGCGCTGTAGCATCGTGGCCAATGCCGTAACTGGAGGTTTTGCCGGTGGGCTGCGGTGCTGGTGCAGAAACGGATCTGCTCTCTTGTTTCGTCGAGCTTAGAGGAAGGGTGACTGTACTAGGCTCGCTGGGCGAGGGGGGGGCGGTATTAAGATTCGGGGCTGGTTGCGTGGCTGATGGTAGCGCCGAGGTTACTGGTTGGGACGATTCTACGAGCGTGCCGTTGGAGGGGTGAGCGTGAGAAGGGCTCGGTGCAGGCTTTGGCGTAATAGCAGGCGCTGCGACGCCTTTAGGGGCTGCTCTGGTATAGACTTTCAGGCAAGGTTTAGCTGACACGGAACAACAAGTCCAAGTAGCACGAGTGCGAGCCGGGGGGAGCGTACCTTCAGGGAACAGGCCATTGTTCCCATTTACCAGGTGGCGGCCCAAAAACCACCCATCGCCAAACTCATCGTCTCGCTCGATCAATTCTACCCGGTCGCCCTTGGCCAGACTGAGTTCGTCGGAGCTCCTGGCCTGGAAGTCATCTACAACAACAGCAGCGTTGATTAGCACCCGTGAGCGCAGATGCAGACGGAGACCACGAGGGAGCACAGCGACGTCGAGACTCACGGATGACGACGAGAATATCGCCCACTTCAGGGCGCGCATCGACAGGCTGCCTCGATGACATGCTGGACTTCGGACGACGACGCCGAGGTCGGGTCGGGTCGGGGGTGTGGTTGCGCGGCGATGGGATGAAGAGAACGGAGAGCAGAACTGAACCTTGGGCGCTGGGGCGACTTGCGACCTGGGGGTGACTTGGCCAGCCGCCGGCGGAGGAGGATGGGAGGTAGGTACCTAGCCGCCTCCGACAGGTGGGCGTGGGCTAGGGACCGTCCCAATAGGGAGTGGGGGCTACTACGGTAAGAGGGTCTCTACGGATATAGATACTAGCAGCACCTACTAACCTACTGTAACCTGCTTGCCTGCTACCTCTGCACAAACTCTCTGTACACTACAGGCGGGCTGGAGTGGTACTCGTCGTCTGTAGGCAGGCAATTCGGCTGGCCATAAATCAACCCTGAGTGGCAACATGCAGAAGCAGGTACCTAGTGAGAGGGTGAACTAAGTAGAATAATGCTTGAACTGTGTAAGGAAAGTAATGGACTAGGCAGTTAGGTAGTCGGTAGTTAGGTATGTGGATAGCGACAAGAAGAGAAGTAGTAATAGTGAGTAAGACAGAAGAATAGGTATCGACTTGTGTCAATTGGTACGGCAGATACTGTAAGCATGTAGGCAGATCAATAGGAGGTGACGTCGGCAGGTGGCAATGCCTCATGGTGATCCCTATCGTCTTATCCCGTCACCGAGACCTTTACTATTGTTGAGGCCGCACGAGCCCGGGTGCGTGGACGAGCCCAGGCGAGAGCAACAAGACGGTTCGGGATACAGAACAACAGAAAGCAAAGCTAGACGAGCCGTAGCTAGGTACGGAATATTCTAATAGTAACTTGTATGCGTAAGTATGTAGGTAGGTGTGCTTGATCGCTGGGGTCAGGTAGTCAGGCCAGGCCAGGCCAGGTCCGAGCCAGGTCGTGTTCGGTCGTGTTCAAGGGTTTCTCAATTTCCCTTTCGCCCCTCTTGTCGGCCCCCCCTTTTTTGCTTTTGGGTGCGACCAAAACTCTGTTCATCCCGAGACGACAGCAGCAGCAGAGTGCGAGTGGCCAGCTCGAGTGGTTGAACAAGCCATGAACGATTAGCAGCTACGGTGAATTGGGCAAGAAGGCAATGGTGTGTAAGTG